AGTTTATAAAAGTTGTATCCATTGTTCGGTTATTTTATAGATAGGTATGTTGCGATTTGAATAACTATTACTATCCAATTACTATAATTTATTCACAAAAAAAAAATTAGTGAATCAATTATCAAAAATTAATTATAAATTGAGTAAAACTGAAAATTGATTTTGTATAAACGTTAGTGTAATCCAATCCTATCAATTGTAGCTCATTTCGATCGTTTCCTTTGTACATATTGTATAATATTGTCTTTGTTTTTGTATTATTTTTTTTCACTATCAAAACTTAAATTTATATTGTAGCTACATCATACCGATTTTTTAACGTTTTAGTCAAACATGCTCCCTTGAAGATTATATTTAACGTTTTGATTGGCCAGTATCCAAAACATAATAAAAAAAATAAAATAATAAAAATATACACAATACATACATGGGGTTTGCGGTTTATTTGAATTAAAATAATGTCCTAATATATAAATATTTAATTTGTATTCTTCTCCGAAATTGTGTATTTAATTTTTCTAAATAATGATAATGTATTACAATTTAAATATAAATATATAAATTGTAAAATTGCTGAATATCTTATTAAAACCTAAAAAATATTCAATACATATAAAAAGTTATTTATTATTAAGTTCCAATTTTTAACATTATTTTAATTTAATAAATAAAAATAATTGATTTTTTCTCAATTGAATCATTTTACATTTTATTTTTATTTGTTCACTGAGATTAAATATTTAAAATAAAATAATAAAAATTATATTAAAATTAAAAATTATTAAATGGTAATACTTGTAAATTAATGTATAAATAAGTAAATAAATAAATAAAAAACGCTTGTTTGGAGTATTAATATATTAGTGAAATACGATCTGTTTGAGTTAAAATTTCATCGTCAGTCAATATAGAGTCCCGATTTTATTGAGTTTGTATCAATAAAAAAAATTGTCTCCAGGTATGTACATTATTTATACCGGGTGATAATTTTTTTTTTCAAAATGGGTTGTTATTTACAAATATATTAACACTCCAGGCCAAGCATTTATTTATTTACGCAAACAAACTAATTTTTTTTAACTTATTTCTATATTCAAAATTTCTTTTTATGTTCAAATTTATTTCGGCATATATAATAAGCTATTAACAAAAATGATGTAATTACCAATTGAAATTTGATCTCTTAATTTTTGTATCTTTTTCATTTCTTCTGATTTTGGTGATTTTTATTTGAGTTATCCTCTTTTTTTGGCTTGCTTTAATAATATAATATCTTATCTTACTTTTATCATTAATTTAATCTGTTGATTTTTTGAAATCTATTTTTTAGTATTCATGATATCATGAACACATAATGTTAGTTGATAGCAATGATGAATTGCAAAAATATTATTCAAGTTTACTAAATTAAATTTACTCTATATATTTTGTTAAAACTAAAATATTGAATTATATATTTTCTAAATCTTATGAAACATTTCCATAAATTATTAAATGTACGAAAACAATTTTTTTTTATCATAAATGTTCAACTTTTGAATATAATTACTAAAATATTGTTCTATTTTAAAGATTATTTTTGTCTATTTTTTTTTTTTAATCTTATACCGTGTAACGTATAAATATAAAAATATTCACAAAAACCATTATTGTTCCTTTGAAATTCAATATAAATTACCAAGTTGGGTTTATTTTTACTATTGTACATGGTATTATTATCAAAGTACCTATTAATGATCTCGTAAGTGGTCGGAACTTTTACCATCGCTTTTGCTTTGAAAATATTGATTAAGTTCAACTTTATAGTTACGAAAAGAAAGCGTTAGTGGGAGAATGTTGTCTTTGAATGTTAACTGGAAAATAAAAATTTATGATTTTTACGTAGCCTAACTTAATTTTTTTATAAATTTACTCGCACGTAAAATCGAAATTATAACCTAATCACTTACCATAGATACATTTGCATTTGAGAGCATATTATTTATTTATGTATAACAAATGTATGAAATCCGAAATATATCAAAAATATATTTGATTTCAGTATTAATTAATATTTATCAGCCATAAAGTATTTAAGTTCAAAGTTGATTTTAGTATTTCTTTCTTCTGAATTTTTAAGTAAGTTTTAAGTATCTATTTAATAATAATTAAGAATTCAGTCTTTTAATAGGTATATTTTGTTAACTTTTTTACTTATTTGTTTGATTTCTATCTTGAAGACCATTTCAATAGAAGATTGTTGTAAAATTATAATAGGTAAATTTAATTTGTCATCAATTAATTTAACTTAAAATATTTTTTTTTTCACTATTTTACTTTTTTTAGTTATGTATTCATTGAAAATATAAAGTTTAAAATGTATTAAAAAAGAACATTCTAAATTAAGAAAAATTAAGTGTTGATCACTTTCCATCAAACCCGGATTAGGATAATTTTGGGTCCGGAGCCAAACAATTTTAAGGGCCTATAATGATTTATAACTAAATAGGTAGATAAATAAATAGGTAATAAATAAATATGTTTTCTAATAAAAAACAGTTTTATGGCTATATCTTAATATATTATAGTCTATAGGAAACTTTAATGTATTTTATTCGAACATTTCTGAAAAAAAAATCATATTATCCACCAGGGGCCCATTATTGTTTGATATCTGTTGTGGGCCTCTTTGGCCTTTTCCTTAATCTGGGCTTAATTTTTATTAATGCATAACTGTCCCATTTTTAAGTTGTATTAAAAAACATAAATATAATTAAGGTTTTTTATTCAAGTACTTCATGTTATAATTTATACTTTTTATTATTAATAAAATATTTTTAAAATTATTTAACATGCTACAATGTTATTGTAAATATGTTAAATGCAGGGCTCTGAAGTTCTAGTAAATGCATATTTTTCTTGGTTCATCCTAAAACATCCAAAGTAAGATTCAAATATGTTTCAAACTACTAGGTTATCATACAAAAAAATTTAATAATGTTTTTTTTTTTTTTTGCGTATTTACGGGTTTTATTGTTATTTTTCTATTTTTGGGTATATTTTCATATAATATAGGAAATAATCACATTTGGTTGATAATAATGGTATTTACTTGGTTATATTTTTAAAAATATTTGAATTATTGAAAAGAAATAGAACTCATCAAATATTATTTTATGTTTTCATCGAAAATTTGATGTATTAATATTTATATTGACGTCACTGTTATTCCCTTAATGTATCATTGCATTAAATTACCAAACATTTTATAATCCCGGGTAATTTTCAATTTTATATAAAATAATTTAATTATTAGTACACTTTTACAAATATATTTAATTAATTTAACATTTTTGTTAACAGATTATAATTCAACCAGTCCAGAAATCTATGAGCCCAAATATTTGTAAAATTAGATTTAATTTTTTTTCTAATAAATTTATAATTTTTTCAAGTTGAATTCATATTTTTTTATTTTTCGTGCTATTTATAGTGCATATTTTAGAGCTAAAAATTAAAATTTTTTGTGCTATAACTTCCGAGCCCTGATTATATATATATTTTTACCTATATGACTACATGATTTTTATGTGCCAGTTAAAATTGTTTTTTATTATTGCAATGTATTATAATCAGTGATTAATGATTAGTATATATATTTCTTTGGAAATGTTGAATAACCAAATAATTTTAATAATTAAAATTTTTTTTTTTTGTTTTAACGATTTTACTTTATTAGTTACTAATTTAAATGTTATGTTTAATATTCGATGTAGATTGCTACATCCAAAAAGTATGACAAATAATACAAATGGATATTATGAATATTTTTTTCGTAATCTAACCATTAAATATAACATTGTTTTATTCAACTGTATAATCAGGCGTTTATTACATTTTTTTCATAGTATTTGTTACAGAGATTAAGTAACTAAAAATATATGGACGCTTGCCATAGTAACTTTTATATGATACTTTAATGTTATAGAACATCGTCCAGTAATATTGACCAAAATTGAACTTCTAGCGTTAATTAAACTCATTCGAATATCAAAATATGAATTATATTTATGTACACAGGCTGGCAGCTATTTTATAATAATATTTATTAACGGAAATTTATATCAAGAATATGTGTATTAAATTATAATATTTAAATTTGATAACTATTTTGATATAGATATAGATGTTATAATGAACAAATACAGTGTTTTATGAGGATTTATTCTTTTGTTTATTTTTTTAAATTGGTGGGAGTGTATTCTAACGTTTATTTCAAACCCGATATCTGAATCCTCGAAGGATACTTTGTATACGTTTTTCCTATTAGGGAGTGTCCAGGTATTCTCGGCACACCCCGTAGCTCCGCCTATCAAGCTATAACTTACGAAATGTTGAAAATATCATTGTAAAATAAATGAACTGGGATGTAAACGAAAATAAAATAACTAAGTAGGACAAAAATAGAATACTATTTCCATACATTTGAAACTGTCGATGATATTTTTACTTAACGTGACCCGTAATCAGATGGCTTAATTATTATTTGTTTGCCACATTATAATCTAAATTCTATAACTAATCCAACGCTGAAAAACGTTTGCAACGGATTCTTGTATAACGATAAATCATTATGGAACAAACGATCATGTTATGACAATTGTACCGTTGATATTGCCGTTTCGTGTGCAACGTAACCGGGTCTCATAAATTTTTTTCGTAAAATTTTATTTTAATTTCTTCACGCGAAACGTTAATTTCACGTACGTTAAGAAATCCAACTTACGCCGCCAAGAACGGTCGTACGGATGCGCGTACACCGTCATCATTACGCGTACCGCGGTTATTGCACACGCACTCGCGCCGGTGATAGTAGTCGGCGGGCACCCTTCGTGTCCGTATCATTACGACGTCGCGTCGCCCCCGTCATCGCCGCGGAACGTCGAAGTCAATGGGAGGGGGGCCGCCGCCACTCGCCGCGTCTTTTCTGATTATCCGCGTTCAACGTGTGCCGTTAATCCAGTTTGCGGAAACTACTCATTCGCCGCGCGCGTCACACCGGTGCGCGTTCAGTGAGTGTGCATGTTGTTGGGATCTCGCGGGCGACGATCTCCCCTTTTCGGGGCATTTACTCCCCCCCCAAATAAAACACCCTACCCCCTCGGTGGTTCGCGCCGCATCTCGCCGTCGTATGTGTTCGTTACCGTCGGTTCGGTTGTGGTTTTCCTCTGTTTTTAATTTTTGTTTTCTTATATTTTTTTAACTTTTTCTTTTTTTTTTTTTTCTGTTCCGTTCCGTTTTTACCGCTGCACAAATGTACAGGCCACCGCAGGACGAACCTCGAGCTCTCAGCAGTAAGATGTCTTGGGACAATCCCAGGGATTACATGCTCAAAGGTGCTACGCCGCTGAAAGTCAAGTGAGTACCCTACTCGCGTTCATATTTATTTTCTGTGGTTTTTTTTTTTTTTTTTATCATAAGCATATTATAATCGATAAAAAATAAATTTCATCCCGTCATTGCACTGTTCGTGTTGGAGAATATTCGTTCACAGTCAAATTTGTCGCGATTACGCGTTCGAACAGCTGTTAGTGACGTCACGCGTTGTCATGGGCAAACGTGTGCGTAACGAGCAACAATATCGTTTCTCTTGCTGACGACACGCTATCCGACATTCCAAAAGTTAATCGTATTTTTTTTTTTTTATCCAATTAACCTGTGTGTGTCTTGGAGTAAGTACAACGATGTGCTTATACTTTTGTTTTTATCAATGCGGTTGATTTGGAAAACGAATCTTCTACACTTGTTGACTAACATGATTAGTACACCTTGGTACCTATACACGATAAAAAAAGAATACGCATTGATAAAATCGAATACGTGACAAGTTAGAAAGTTGAAACAATGAGTAAAATCACAATATTCTGTTCTTTAGACTCCAGTCGTCCCGTTTAATGAATAAAAATACCCAACGTGAATCATATTTTTGTATACGTGGATCTTATTCCATATTGCAATGACTATACAATAAGTATGTTATAAAGATTACTAAACATGTGTGTGGCGTACAATTTTAGCCTCATTGCAAAAGCTTTTAAGGGGTCTTTTTGTTTTATTCGCATATTTACCTATAAATATGTAAGAAAACTTTAAGGGTTCTTTTTAGCGTTAGCTATTTGTGTGCCTTGTGCTTATATTTTATGTGTATGATATAATTAATATATTATTATAAACTATATTTTAGAAATATGTTAGTACATTTGATACATTTTAATTTTATATCAGAAATTAACGATAATAGTACTCGAGATACGTTGCAAATCTGCAAAATTAGAAAGTGGTTATTTGAATGTTTTATAAAAACATCAAGTTCCATGTGTCCTAATAAACCTTTTTTTTTACAAATTAATTAGATTTTAACAAAATATAAATTAGAATTTTTAAATCAAAAAAGGTTACAAAAGGTAATCCATCTACAATATTAGTTAACAAGATACCTTATTTTATGAATTTAATAATTTGACTTTTAAATTATAAATCGGTATGATGCAATAATTACATAGGTACCTAATTTAAATAGTTATATTAATACAACTCTATTTTATTATAACTAATACAAAATATTGCCTATTTTATTTTAAAGGTATAATACAAATGATACAGCAACATTGTTCACTAAGTTTTAATAACTTTCGGGAAGAATATTGAACAATTTCAAGCGATTTCTAATTATCATTTATTATATTGTGGTGACAAATCATTTGTAAAATAACCAAATTACTTGTATTATACTTATAATAATTATTTTTAAAAAGAATCGAAATTTTCCCAGTCAATCAAGAATTTTATATACTAAAAAAATTGAATATTTGATTAAAAATAAAGAATTGAACAGTTAAAATATGTTAGTTATATTAGAGTAATTAGTAATAGAAATGCATGACATAATTATGCACACTGTAAACAACATTATTCTAGATATAAATAACAAGTCTGGAAATACGTAATAACGAAGTTTTAAGTACCCATTTAAAATATATATGGTCCGTCAACATTTATAATAATGTATTAACTTAAAGTTGATCAATTTTATCAATTCTTTTTAAATACTTTTTACATATTTAAATTAATTTATTGTTTTATTGATTATTAATATCAAATAAATAAGGTATTCGTTTGGTCTTTTTTTGTCGACACTGCGCATTTTTAAGGGTTTATATTTATAGTACTGAGTTAATATATAAATAATCTTACGAAACTATGTATATAAATAACTAATCGATTAAAAAAGAATAAATATTAATATTATTAATTTCAGCATTTAGTTTTATGAATAATCAATTTGTATAATTTGCTTATAATAAAGTACAGGTAGCGATGGAAATGTAAGACGTCTACTAAAATGTATTACAGTATAATTTAAATATCACTTAGTACTCGTATAAGGTAATTATATTTTTTCGACAAGAAGAGTGCCGTTCATAGGCGCACATAGGGGGGTGCTCAAGGGTGCTTAGTACCCCTAGATTTAAAATTAGCACCCCCAGTTTCCTAGAATATTTATTTCGATATTTCATCGATAATTTGTAAATTATTGTGGTTTTTGGGTTGGACATTTTTTTTCCACTATAAATAGACAATAATGTATAATATAGTTGATGAATTCACGATTAAAACATATATAATTGCACGTCTTACTGTTTCAGTTTATGTCTAATGGCGCGTTCTCATGAGTCAAGTTTAGTTGACCGATTATTATAGTTGATCAAAAAAATTTGAATAAAATCTATAGTGAGTACATTTGTTTCAATAAACTTGAACAACTAATTAGTTGAACAAAAAAAGTTTGACTCGTTCAAACTTTATCGTTCAAGTAATGAGTTGTTTTCAAATTCCTTTCAAGTTGAAACTTGTCTTGACACGTGAGAAGATAAACATACACTACAGTTGATTCAAGTTGAACTTCAGTTTGTTTTCAACCAGTGGGCAGTCACACGTGCATTTTATGTTTTATTTTGTCATTTGTGTTTTTTTTTTAATTTTTAGCGTACTAAATATTTTTAACTTAAACCCAAAAACGATGTTTTATACGATTTTTACACATATTAATTAAAATCGTTTTTAATTTTTTACTAAAATACTTATTGTGTTTACAATTTCACATACAACTGCTTTCGACGCCATTTTCAACTGCATTGATATATGTGATAAAATGAGCTCGACAGTGGCGTCAACTACGTGTCGACTGCGGCATTACGTGTTAAACTAAGTTGAAAATAAAATTGAAACATGTTCTATTGCAATGTGTGAACAAAACTGATTCAACTTATATTCAATTTTTCTTGATCAACTATAATTGGTCAACTAAACTTGACTCATGAGAACGCACCTTAACTATTAAATTATAAACAGCAATCATAATATTATAGAAAATCATATTATCTTATCTTACTTTATATTCTTATATTATCTACGGTTTACGGTTGGCTATGAAATTATGTTAAGTTATTAATAACTTTGATTATTACTTGGTTTTAAGAAATTTTAACCAGTGGGCTACGCTGAATTGTATGCGGAATGACAAATATTATTATCAATAATACAAACGATATGATTCATTACTATTTACATTTTATATATTAGTTCATATTTTTAATATATCAGGTTATTTTGAAAATATCGACTGCTAGTTTATTAGCAGAAATGCTGGTCTTAAGAATAGTCTACTGCCAACTTTGAATTTGAAGACTTGAAAAATCAATGTAATAAAAGTTCGTTTCCAGATGATTATAAATTAGTTCAAGTGGTAATGACAATTCCAATTTCTTCTTCAACGCGTGAACGCATCTTTTCAGCTATGCGTAAATTGAAAAATTGGTTCCGCACTAGTATGGGCCAAGAAAGATTTACTAAGCTATCTACGCATAGCATTGAGAGAGATCTTACCTATTAAATAGATGGGGAAATTATATTGGAAAAATTTGCATCATCAAATAGGAAATTAAATCTTGTTTAATATATTATTAATAATTACATATAATTATAACTTATAATATAATTACTTTTAAATATTCATTAATAAAAATTAAAAACTATGGCAACGCAGTTGATTATAGTATTAGGGGGTAAGGGGGGTAAAACCCCACACGGACCTGTATACTATAAATTATTCCAGCACCCCCTGAATTCACACACAATGTGCGCCTATGATGCCGTCTAGCAGTTTAAACATGATATCAAAATTAATCATTCCATTTTCTACGATCTCTAGTTTAGTTTAATAATAATTGAAAATTTGCATAATTAAAACGAGTGACATTATTGCCATGTTTTTTTAATTATATTTTCAAATATTTATTAGTTACTTTATTATTTTTACCACTCAAAAAGTATTTTTGAAGGAAATGTAATAATATTAAAATTAATAATCAATAATTAATAATGAATGGAAAATTTATTATTTATACTAATATACTCGTTTAGTGACTATTTACAATACATAACTATTTATAACTGTTGAATATTAACAATGTAATGTTTAAACGCTTTTGCTTATATATATATGTTTAATGAAACTATTATTCTTATGTATTATTATTCAGAGATTAATATTAGAATTTGAAAAACTCTTATTTTTTTAAATCGGGTTTGATTATTTTTGATAAAATTGTATATACATAAGTATACATACAAGTATATACATAAGTATATATACAAGTATATACATACTTTGTTAATTAGTTTATTAATATAATATATATATCGACTAGGAAAATTATAGATTCATTGTATTATATTGTTTTCTATATATTGCGTAATCATTGATATTAATTGTTGATAGTTGATAAGTTTGTCGTTATATTGGATATAAATCATACAATTTTAAGATTATTTAATTTTTAAAAAATTAAGATTTAAAACTATCAAACAAGAAATAATAATAATTTTGCTAAAGATATTTGTTTAGTAATTTTTTTATACCAAACATTTATAATATATTGTTCATACTATATTGAAATTTTAAAATAAAATGGCTAATATATTTTTAAAAATGCAATTGTTTATCATTGTTTTTATGAACAAACAAAATAATCTCTATATCTTGTTAATATTTTATTATATATATTTTTTTTTAAACATAATACATAATTATTTATATATATATTGTTCATCTTAGAAAAAAGTAATTATTTAAAATAAATGCTATTATTTAAAACTAGTAATTTTATTAATTATTTTATTCATTTTACTGCTTTTATTTACCACTTACTTTTTCCAAAATTGAATATAAAAAATTGTACGAATAAAATTACTTATATTAATTATTGATTATAGATAAAGGTATTTACACTTTTAAAATGTAAATATACATAATATATATAATACAATATATATATAATTCATTGTTTTTGTAAAAT